AAAGGAATCCTGTCCATCTGCCTAACATCCCTACGCAGGGACCAGCGCCCAGGGCAGGGGCTGGACACAGCCGTGTCATGGCAGGGACTCAAGCTCCAGCAGCAACAGTGGGAACATGGCCTGGGAGCAGGAAGACATGCTTGAGGCCAGCCTTGGCTGGGGACAACCATTGTACCCCAGTGCCACCACAGTTATCCCTGGGGTGGTGTTTGGGAGCAGGAGTGCTCCTGTCCTTGGTGAAGCTGGTGATCTGGAGCAGCTGCTGTGGGTCACCAGGGCAGGCAGGTGCCAGCACATGGCACCTTTCCTTCCCACAAACACAGGGAACATTCAGCAGCTTCCTCGCCAGCTTTGGCTGGGGCTTTTTGCCTGGAAGTTCCCGTGAGGAAGGGTGTTACGTTGTGCTGCGTGTGCTTATTTGGGATGGGTAGGACAAGAGGGTAGTTCTGCTTTTGCGGTCGTTATCTTGGGTTCACGGAACTGCAGTTGTTTTCCTTTCACTAGCTGGGGGTGGCTTTTTTTCCTATTTCCTTTTACATCACGTCGTGTGCTTCGGTTTACATAAGAAGCCCCAAAGTTGCTGTTGGTCATTGCATGGGTTCAGGGTTTGCTCCTGAGGGTGAAATGAAAGTTAACTCGGGGCTTGTGTCAACCTGGGAGGACGTGCTCCTTTGGTGGAGCTGGTTTCTTTCGTTTCTGGAAAGGCCCATTTCCCATTGCTGGTGAGGAAGGATTGTTCTGAGAAGGGACTGGAGTTTGTAAAGACCAAACCCCCACTTTCTGTTTCTGGCTTGACCAGCTTTCATCAAGTCCTTTGGAACTCGTGCAAACGCAGAGCTTCAGTGAGAAGCTCCTGGTGATGTCTCTGAGGCTCAGCTCTGCCTTTTCTTGTCTCATTAGTCAGCAAGACCATTAATTCCCAGCAGGCCTGGGTTCCCTGCTTCCCATGGGCAAGGTTAGTGTCTGCTTCTCTCCTGTGGCAGCAGCAGCCTTTTGAAACCACAGTGCTGTGTTATACCTGTCTGTAGAACAGGCATTTTGTGTAGCCCAGCTGAAAGGGAACAAAGTTAACACGAACATCTTGATCTCTAAACCAGCTGTTGTCCAGGAAGCATCAGCAAAAGCACTTTAAGCAGTTTTGCCTCTTCCACGTGTGCTGAAATTAAAACCTTTTTCCAATAACAGTTCATTATTTTGTGTCTTTGGAGGCCAATGCGCTAACCCGGGGCACGTGGGACCAGAGCTCTAAAGACCTGGTAATTGTTGGATAATCGTCTGTGTAACATGCAGGGATGCTGTCCTGCTCACCCTTAATCCTGTGCTTTGCTTCTCTTACCAAAACCACCTTTGTGACTGATCTGAAGCACATCCCTTGCCAATATTTTCCTTTGCTCTTTGGCTTTTGCATTTTCCCTTCAGCCTCCGAGCAGAGATGAAGGCAGATTCCCTGCTGCTCTCTGCCTGGCTCCTGCCAGGGTCCCTCACACCACAGCCCTTCCTCCAGGCTCTGAACCTTGGCTACATCTTAGAGCTCGTTATTAAACCTCCCTGTGAAGACGTGGGGTTTGACACCATGCTGTGTCCTGGAACATTCACCAGAGTAGAAGAGTTTATTGCACAGAGCAGGAATTCCTCCCCAGTGCAGTCACCGATGCTTTGAACTGTGGTGGGGAGCTGGTTGCTCACACAGCCCGGGGCTATCTGCTCTTGGAAGAGACAGGCTCTAAAACCAGGCAAGCCATCTGGTGCAGGCCTCCAGTTTCATGTTTCAGGGGATGAACTCCTGCAGAGTTCACTCACTGCTGCTTTTTGCAAAAGCCTCCGACTCTGCCGAGTCGGGCGTCTGATATCTCTAAGTTAAACATGTGGTTTTTCCTTGTGCCCCTCCATTGAGAGGCCTCTTTCCTGCTTATGGAGAGCAGCAGGATGGATTGCACGCTGAGCTGGAGGAGTCATGGTCAGCTGTTCATTTGCCATGTCTTCCCGTTTTTGGTGCCCATCTTAAAATGCATTGGCTGTCACTCTCGAGTCTCTTCTGTACAAGTGTGTAGGAAGGTGCAGATGCCATCACCATCAAGGTGCTCAAAGTTGGTGCTTTCACAGAACAGACAGCTTTGCTGAATCTTGCTGCAGTCGTTTAAAGTGCAGTAAGGGGAGGGAACTGTTCACCCCTGTCTCTGCTGTGGTGCAGTGCTCCCTTGCTAGGGTTGAACCACTGGTGAAGGAGAGTTTGCATATGGGTGTTGGGCTGTGGTGGTGCTGGCTGAGGCCTGACTTGTGTCCCCTTCTGCTCTGAGGGGCAGAAAACTTCAGCAGATGTTGGGGGCAGGCAATGGGGAACAGGAGCTGTTGCAGTAATATTTACCAGCACTTGGCTGTCAAGATACCTTTAGAGACCATTTTGAAGAGCATTCACCTTTGGTTGACTTGCTGGAGATCCTAGTGTGAGTGCCAGACTTAGGATTGCAGAGTTCTTGGTGACTAGCATGTACATAAGCCATAGGTCAAGGTTTTGTGTCTCCAAGCCCTGCTCCCACCCTGTGTCTCCTCATCTGCAAAAGGCACAATGTGCGTTTGGTGCAGGTGTTGGAGTGGGACTTCACTGGCTCCGTCCTGCTGCTGCTTTTTGCTTCGCTGGTTTTTAACCAACATGTGTGGAATGCACAATCAGCATCTTGGAGAGGCAGTGGTAGGAAAGAGGAAGCTCACGTGGAATATAAATAGCCAAATTTGAAAATGTCCCAGTGTCACAGCTCGCTGGCTCTTGGCATGAGCTTGGCTGAAGAGCGCTGAGAAGCTGAGTACTTTGTGTGTGGTTTGCAAAGGGGGAACTTGGAGGGATATCTCACAAGTCAGCAAGACAAAAAATGAATGAATTTGACAGTCCTGAATATGGGAAGGAAGTGAAATTTGCTTCTACGCACATGGAAACTGGGTGTATCCTCCACACGTGACACGAAGCAACCCCCCCCTGTGTGGTTATGGCAATAATTTCCACTGTAGTTGCACAGCAGCTGCCCATAATTCATGGGTTGATCCTGGGACATATGTCCTCCTCATATGAATTGATTTTTTTATTAATTTAATGGCATCTCAACACGCATCTGATTTTTTGTTCTTGTGATTCAGACATGTTTATACTCGAACATCAATTTATGCCCTAATTTATCCCAGAGCACAGAACAAGAGAGGAACTGATGCAGGTGTCTGGAAGTATGTGTGTCTGTCCCCTGCCTTGTGAGGGTGCTCTCAGGGTTGGTCTGGGAGCCAGTGGATCCTGGGAAGTGCTCCTGATAGTCACAGCTCTGCTGGAGTTAGAAGCCTCATGACCCCTTGAGCTTAAGGAAACCAAATCTCTCCATAGTCTGGCATGAAGTGAGAAGAGTATGTTCAGCAGAAAGTGAGGAAGAAGCAGTAACCCTGCCCAGGGGGTTCCTCTGTCCTCATTCATTACTACCATGAACAAGAGGCTTCTTAAAATGTTCCCCTTACTCTTTGGCTGTTACTCTGTGCCTTAGTTCCTTGCTCATAACAAGCACTTGGGCAGGGAGTGATAACTGCAGTGACCACTGCTGGGATGGTAATGGTAAAGGATGGTGCTTAAAGAGCACATTGTGTGCATGGTCAGTGTGTCAGCTCAGGGCTGTGTTTGGCACTTTCTGCTCAGAGTCTCTCGAGATGTGCAGCATCATCTGGAGCTGGGCACTTGGCACGACTGCTCCCACATTCTCAGGGAGTGGTTTGGGATGAGGATGTTTTGCAGGGAGCAGCGTTGCTCCTGGGGCTCCAGCCCAGGGCTCCAGCCTGGGGCTCCATCCTGGCTCACCCTCTGGCAGCTTCTCCCCAGCAAGCCCTGCCTCATTGCCATTGTTTAGGGCTTTTTGTGCTCCTGGGAGCCAGGCTGCAGGGAAAGCTGGAGGCTGGTTCTGGTCCCTGGCTGGCAGTGTGATACACAGGGGGCACTTGTCCCTGAGCCCCTGCACCCCAGTGACTGTCACCTCCCCCGGCTTGTTGCTTTGGGGCATTTTCCCCATCTGCCAAGCAGGGCGTTTTGCCACGTGTTACACCCTGTCCCACCATTTGAGGTGGGGGATGGAGGGTGGGGGAGATTCCCCACGGTGTTTAAAAGGATCTGGATAAATCCTCTTAAGAGAGGCACTGACTCAGCAGAGCGTGGTGAGGGGAGGAGGAGAGGGGAACAGAATTATCCTTGTGGGGCTGGAAGCACCAGCGAGCCCCGAGCTGGCACGTGGGGCAGGGAGAGCTGTGTGCCTGGGGACCTGCCCTGAGAAGCAGCCCCTCCTTCCTCACCAAATTTTTTATGATCTCCATCTCCCCTGAGCAGAAACTTGAGCCCCATAGCTTGCTGTGGCCTGGAGGTGCCTGTCCTCAGGGATGTAAGGACCTGCCCTGGCTGTGTCCAAGCCCACCCTGTTGTTGCTCCCCAAGGTTTTCCCCAAGTTCTGAGCTCTCCCCTTGGATTTCTGCCTGGTGTGCACAGCCAGCTCTGCCAAGGCTTGCGGGCAGCTTGGTTTCATGGTTATTATTTATTACAGAAGGTGTGCCGAGGTGCTCAGTTCCCACAGGGGCAGATTACCAAGATTTCAGTCAGACCAGGTGGCAATGTCACCTTAAAGGAAAGGCAAAGGTTTGGGGAGGTGAAAGCAGCCAGGGCTGGGCATGGGGATGTGCTGCCACCTGCCTCCTCAACTGCCTGGCAAGAGATCCTCACTCTGCCCGGCACCCAGCACAGCCCCAGTTTGCAGAAGGGCTGGGATGAAGGGCAGTGGACATAGAGCAGACCCAGAGCAGCTTCCTGAAGTCTTGGCTCTGCCTGTGTGCAGGCTCAGGTGGGCCCAGGGACAGGCTGGCAGGAAGGCTGGTGTCTCCTGGTTTGCGTTTCTCCTGCTGCCTGCCAGCTGTTGCTTTGCCTTGCTGAGATACCCACAGAGCATCTCTGACACGCTTCACCCTTCTTATCTCACGGTGTATCTTGTCCTCCCGTGCAGAGCTCCACACAGGAGATTGGAGAAGAGCTGGAGGATGGTGTGATCTACAGCATATCCCTCCGGAAAGTGCAGCTGCATCACGCGGCCAACAAAGGGCAGCGGTGGCTGGGGGTAAGCTGGGGGCTCTGCCACCTTCTGCCATGGGGGCTGTTCAGGTGTTCCCTGCCAGACATGGTGACCTGATGTCAGGGTCAATATCAGCCTGTGTCCTGCCCTCTTTTTGCTCTCCATATGTTCCCTGTCCAGGGGGCTCCTTCCAAGCCTTATCTGGGAACCATGTATTTGTTTGGGGGTGGGGGTTTGGGAGCACCCACTGGCCTGTGCCCTGCTGCAAGGACTGGGGGGGAAACAAGTCTGAAGCCCCATTTTGCAAAATCACAGAATTACCTTGGTTAGAAAAGACTTCAAGATCATTGAGTCCAGCTGTTAACCTAAGACTGACAAGTCCTTAACTAAACCATATCCCTAAGTACTATGTCTATATAAAATAAGGTGACCCCGATTTGCATCTGGGTTTCAGCAACTTTGAGACCTTTCCTGGGCTTTCTGAGATGCTCCGGTCTTCTCAGCTGAGTTGCTGGTATTTGGTTTTGGAGGAGACCTGGCTCCCATCACAAGAGCCCCAGGCACTGCAGGGGGTGTGTGGTCCCAGGCTAGACTCAGAAGTGGCTTGTGAAGCTGGTGGGACCACATCGTGCTTGAACGTGTCTGTCCTCATCCAGCCCACTGACTCGTGCCCCTCTCCTGACAGTTTGAGAATGAGTCAGCCTTGAACCTCTACGAGACATGTAAGGTGCGGACGATAAAAGCTGGGACCTTGGAGAAGCTGGTGGAGTACCTGGTCTCAGCCTTCAAGGGTAATGACTCCACCTATGTCACCATCTTCCTGTGCACTTACCGGGCCTTTGCCACCACCAAGCAAGTGCTGGACCTGCTGCTTAACAGGTGAGGCTGCCCTGAGTCTTGAAATGCAGCTGGGGGTGGCTGGTTTCTGAGGCCCCTTGGCCAGGAGAACCCCAGCATCTTCTGCTGCCATGCCTTGGAGGGCTGCTGGGCTTCTCCCAACCCCATCAGCTTGAAGGTTTTGGAGCAGGGTAGGGAGGACACAACTTCCCAGGGAGCTGGAGCTCTTCCAGTTGTGTCTGTGAGGTCAACAAAGGGCAGCGGTGGCTGGGGGTAAGCTGGGGGCTCTGCCACCTTCTGCCATGGGGGCTGTTCAGGTGTTCCCTGCCAGACATGGTGACCTGATGTCAGGGTCAATATCAGCCTGTGTCCTGCCCTCTTTTTGCTCTCCATATGTTCCCTGTCCAGGGGGCTCCTTCCAAGCCTTATCTGGGAACCATGTATTTGTTTGGGGGTGGGGGTTTGGGAGCACCCACTGGCCTGTGCCCTGCTGCAAGGACTGGGGGGGAAACAAGTCTGAAGCCCCATTTTGCAAAATCACAGAATTACCTTGGTTAGAAAAGACTTCAAGATCATTGAGTCCAGCTGTTAACCTAAGACTGACAAGTCCTTAACTAAACCATATCCCTAAGTACTATGTCTATATAAAATAAGGTGACCCCGATTTGCATCTGGGTTTCAGCAACTTTGAGACCTTTCCTGGGCTTTCTGAGATGCTCAGGTCTTCTCAGCTGAGTTGCTGGTATTTGGTTTTGGAGGAGACCTGGCTCCCATCACAAGAGCCCCAGGCACTGCAGGGGGTGTGTGGTCCCAGGCTAGACTCAGAAGTGGCTTGTGAAGCTGGTGGGACCACATCGTGCTTGAACGTGTCTGTCCTCATCCAGCCCACTGACTCGTGCCCCTCTCCTGACAGTTTGAGAATGAGTCAGCCTTGAACCTCTACGAGACATGTAAGGTGCGGACGATAAAAGCTGGGACCTTGGAGAAGCTGGTGGAGTACCTGGTCTCAGCCTTCAAGGGCAATGACTCCACCTATGTCACCATCTTCCTGTGCACTTACCGGGCCTTTGCCACCACCAAGCAAGTGCTGGACCTGCTGCTTAACAGGTGAGGCTGCCCTGAGTCTTGAAATGCAGCTGGGGGTGGCTGGTTTCTGAGGCCCCTTGGCCAGGAGAACCCCAGCATCTTCTGCTGCCATGCCTTGGAGGGCTGCTGGGCTTCTCCCAACCCCATCAGCTTGAAGGTTTTGGAGCAGGGTAGGGAGGACACAACTTCCCAGGGAGCTGGAGCTCTTCCAGTTGTGTCTGTGAGGTGGCCCGTGCTGGCTGCTTCCCTATTCCCATGACACTGGGGCTGTGGCAGACTCGGAGGAGCAGAACAGTATGTAGGAGGATCATCCCAGCCTCCAGGCAGAGCTGAGGGTGGTGTAGATGGAGCAGAGGCAGCACTGAGGCACAGCTGAGCCCAGACACTCACTGCCTCCTCACTGTGCCCCACCAGGTACGGCAAACTCCACGTACAGGCAAACGGGGACCACGCCAGGCATGCTGTGGATGAGAGGATGGAGCTGAAGAAGTAAGTCTGACCAAGCTATGGGTGAACAAGGGATGGGTGGCTTTGGTGATAGCTCTTTAGTTCTCACACAAAGGCACGTGTTGTCCCAGGGGCGCTCCTGGTGCGTGGGGTCGGGGAGGATGCACACGAGTTTCTCCTGGTGCCCAATTCTCAGGGCTTGTTCCCTCTCTCCCTGCAGCACCATCTCCTCCATCCTGGGTGCCTGGCTGGACCAGTACTCAGAGGACTTCCGCAAGCCCCCAGACTTTGCCTGCCTCAAGCAGCTCATCTCCTACGTGCGCCACAACATTCCCGGCTCCGACCTGGAGCGCCGAGCGCGCATCCTGCTCGCCCAGTTCCAGCAGCAGGAGCAGAGCGAGTCTGAAGCAGAAGGTGGGATCCTTGTCCTTTCCCACTTTTTTGGGGGTTGTCATTTGGGGCTGCAGGTGGAGAGAGTGCTACCAGTTGGCATCAAAAGTCTTCAAAACCTTGGGCCTTGCCACGTGGCTGAACCCCCATGAACACTGGCTGTGTTTACACAGAGGGACACTGGGAAGCTAATCCAGCCTCCCCAGAAGTGGGATTTCTAAGTGGATTAGCTAATCTGCCTTTAATCTTCTGCAGACACTTGTGTCCAGGTTTAAAATCACTTATCCTTTTATCTGAGCTTCGTTTCTCAAGGCATGAAGCCAGATGAGAATTAAGAGCCCAGGAGGTGGGATGTGGTGGGGGGCTGGTGTGGACCCCAGCTGGCAGTACTCAACTCTGTGCCATCTCTCACAGCTGTGGACCATGGTGGCTGCACCTTCCAGCTGGTGGAGGAGAACGGGGTTGGGGAAGGAAAGCCAGATTTCCTCTCCTTCTCCCCAGAGATGGTGGCAGAACAGTTCACGCTGATGGATGCTGTGAGTATTCCGTCTACAGCTGGGTGGATGGTGCTCTGCCCATCTGCAACCTGCTGCTCTGGGTTGTCATCCCTTCCACCTTTTCTTCCTGGCCTGTTCCCTACCCAGGAACCCCAAAGAAACCCATCTCCATCCCTTTTATCTTCCAGGAGCTGTTTAAGAAAGTGGTGCCTTACCACTGCCTGGGTTGCATCTGGTCCCAGCGAGACAAGAAGGGCAAGGAGCACCTGGCACCCACCATCCGTGCCACGGTCTCACAGTTCAATAGTGTGGCCAACTGTGTCATTGCCACGTGCCTCGGGGACCGATCCCTGAAGCCGCAGCAGAGGGCGAAAGTGGTGGAGCGGTGGATCGAAGTGGCTCGGGTAGGACAGCTCATCATCCTGCTCACCTCCCACCTCGGCCCCCGGGCTGGGTTTGTGAGAATCCCAGCAGATCCCCAGGCTTTCTTTAACTGTCTGTCTCCTTGCCTGCCCCCAGGAATATGCCGCATCCTGAAGACCTTCTCCTCCCTCCGGGCCATCCTCTCTGCTCTGCAGTGCAACGCTGTTCACCGGCTGAAGAAGACCTGGGATGAGGTCCTGAGGTAAGGGGTGCCTGCCGGCCTCCTTGGGGAGATTTAAGAGAGGGAGGTTGTGTTGTGGCCCTTGAGCCTGGAGGTGGGATCATCTCCACTCCAGCATTGCCTCTTGGAGTGTGCCCAAAAAGCAAGGGAGCAGCATGAGGTGTCAGGGACCTAAGGAGGGTAAGGAAATAAAAGCACCATAATCTCCTCCTTTCTATGGCAAACATGCTGGAACAGCCCTGAGACAGTAAGACTCTGTTTGGAGCTGTGAGTGCTGCGGGGATCCTTTGGGTGGGCAGAAGAGTCCAAGCAGGATAAGGAAAGTCCAAGGAGGAAACCTCAGGGGAGCACCATTGCTGACTTCTCCCCATTTCTCCCTGAGCAGGGAGAGCTTCCGCACTTTCCATGAGCTTTCTGAGATCTTCTCTGATGAGAACAACCACTCGCTGAGCCGGGAGCTTCTTATCAAGGTACAGGCAAGTGGTACCTGTGTTCCCCTGTCTCTGGCAGGGAGCTCGGGCTGGTGCTGGCAGAAGTTTTTGTGGTGTTCCCACCTCCAGGCCAGACCCCTGGCAGTGCTGCTGGGGCTGCAGGCAGGGCCTGCCGAGTCTGAGGAGCAGGCAGGGGTTTCGCACAAGGCTGGGCATTGTGCTTCTCTGCCCAAAAGTCCTCCTTGCCTGAAGGTTGCAGAGCAATTCAGCAAGCAGAGATAAGCAGTGGGGTGGGATCCAGTGCACCAGGTGACAGCTTCTCCCCAGAGGCAGCTGCATTTTAACAGCCACGCTGCAAAGTCCTCTTGATTTCCGGTGGGGTTCTAGGAGTCGTGGAAGGCTGCAGCAAAAATGTCCTTCTTCCCCATGAAGCCTCTGCAGCTTGCCAGCCTGGCTCCGGTTTGGGGGCTGAGAGGACACAAAATGCAAAAGGAAACAAAACATCCCATTGAGGAGCTATTTATACAGAGCTGGAAGTGGGAGCAGTAGCTTCTGTTCACTCAGCCTCCGCTCCCTCTCAGCCATGAGAAAGCTCAGCTGTGATTTCCTCCTCTTCCCCTCATCCCTCTTCACAAGGGAAGTTGTAGTGATAAAAGCAGGGTGAAGTTTAGCTCATCTGTTAGTGCAGCTTCCCACCTGCTGATCCCCCTCCTCTCCCCACCATCCAGGAGGGCACGTCCAAATTTGCCACCTTGGAGATCAACCCCAAGAGGGCTCAGAAGCGGCAGCAGCAGCAGCGAGAGATGGTGAGTCCCACACAGCTCCCCCCACAGCCCCTCCCTGGCTGGTCCCAGCTCTGCTGACCCCTCTTGTCCTTTGCTCTCCCCTCAGGGCGTGATGCAGGGCACCATTCCTTACCTTGGCACCTTCCTCACGGACCTGGTGATGCTGGACACTGCCATGAAGGATTTCGTGGATGTAAGTACCTCCATCTATCCTCCTTTTCCTCCACACGGCTGCCCCAGAGCCTGGGCTGATGGATGGAAGGCTGGTCCCCCGTGCGTCCTCTATTGGCCACTGCACCCTGCACATCCAACCCATCAGCCCATGGGAATGGGCTGCTCTGGTGTCAGGGATGCCCACATTGCAGTGGCAGAAACCTGGGAGGCAGAAAGGGATGGGGGGAAAAATTTTTTCTGCCTGCTCCACGCTGACACTTGGCCTCTTTGTTTTCCAGGGCGGGCTGATCAACTTTGAGAAGAGAAGGAAGGTGAGAGCTTTGCCCTGGCAGACTTAGTGCAAGCCCAGGATGTGTCAGTCCCTTTGGGGTTGATCCCTCTCCTTTTTTGCTGTCATGTTCTTCATTTTTGGGGAGGTGGATTCTGGATCTTCATGTGTAGGGCTGGGCTTTTGTGGAGGAGGCTGGGGCTGGCAAACAGACCTGGTCTCACAGCTTCTATTTGCTTCAGGAGTTTGAAGTCATTGCCCAGATCAAGCTGCTTCAGTCAGCCTGCAACAACTACAGCTTCACACAGGAGGACCAGTTCGTGGACTGGTTCCACAGCCTGGAGCGGCTCAGCGAGGCCGAGAGGTGAGCAGGGACCGGGAGCACCGGGAGGTCCCCCCGTTTGTCCCCCCCAGCTGAGCTGCCCTGAGCTCAGCCCCCAGCTCTGCCCCTCGGCACCTGCTGTGGCCGTGGCAGCACGAGGGGCTCAAACCCTCCTCTCTCCCCTCCCAGCTACGGGCTGTCGTGTGAGATTGAGCCGCTGTCAGAGTCAGCCAGCAACACCTTGAAGGCCAAGAAAAACACGGGCATCATCAAGCGATGGAGCGAGTGAGTCTGTGGCCCCAGCAGGGTGTGGGGTGGAGGTGGGGGCAGCGCAGGGCACCGGGCTGGGGTGGCCGCTGTTGTAGGATCACAGAACGATTTGGGTTGGTAGGGACCTTAGAGATCATCTAGTTCCAACCCCCCTGCACGGGCAGGGACACCTTCCTCTACCTCTCTGTCCGGCTGGCCAAACACAGCCTTGCCCTGCCCGGCTCTCACCTTCTGCGGGTCTCTCCTGGCAGCCGGCAGCCGCCCAGCACCGAGCCCTGCGCCAGCGGCAGCTCCCACTCCAAATCCTTCGACCAGCTCAAGTGTGGGCAGTACCTGGGCAGTGGGGACGCCACCGACTCCGTCAGTGTCACCTCTGCTGGCTCCAGCAGCTCTGATGTGGAGGAGATCAACATCAGCTTTATCCCCGAGTCCCCCGACTGCCAGGAGAAGAAGGTACGGGGCAGCTCGCGGGGTCCGGGCCCCCAGAGGCAGGTGGGGCTGTCGTGTGGGGCCTGCCTGAGCTCTGTGCTGGGGCTGGGGGCTGAGGGGTCCCGGGGGGCTGTTTTTGACCGGCAGGGGCCAGGGGGGCTCCCTCCCCCGGGTGCTGTGGGCGGGGCAGCCCCCCCAGCGCTGGTACGCCCCGTCTGTGGCCGATGGAGAAGCTAAAACCACTGTGTCCTCCGCATCCCCTCTCCTCCCTGCCCTCCAGTTTTGGGAATCCACCTCCCTCTCCTCCCTGGACACATCGGGCATCGGCTCGGGCTCCAGCAGTGCCTCTTCCTCCTCTGTGTCCTCCACGCCGGTGACGGCCTCTCGCACCCACAAGCGCTCGGTCTCTGGCATCTCCAGCTACTCCTCCCTCTCGCTTCCCCTCTACAACCAGCAGGTCGACGACTGCTGCATCATCCGTGTCAGCCTGGCTGTGGACAACGGCAACATGTACAAGAGCATCCTGGTTAGTATGGGGAACCCGTGGTGACGCCGGGCAGGGGGGTGGCTCATCCTGCTCGGATGTAGGCACGGCTGGGAGGAGGTGGGGGCTTTGCAGGGCTTTGTATCCCCTGGTTAATAAAGCTCTGCGCTCACAGGTGACGAGTCAGGACAAGACTCCGGTTGTTATCCGCAAGGCCATGGCCAAACACAACCTGGATGGAGACCGGCCTGAAGACTACGAGCTGGTTCAGATCATCTCAGAGGAGAGAGGTGTGTGTTGGGGTGCAGGGGGCTCTCCTGGTGCCTGCATCCCCATCCAGCCTGGGCAGCGCGGGGTTGAAGTTGGGCTGGGAGGTGACAGCGGAGGGGTCCCAGCAGCCAGGGACATCTCTCAGCCCCACTGTGGTGCCCTGTCAGAGAAGAAGTGCCTGACTGACTCCTGTCCTTGGTCACTTCCAGAGCTGAAGATCCCTGACAACGCCAACGTCTTCTATGCCATGAACTCTGCCGCCAACTACGACTTTGTGCTGAAGAAGCGGGGCTTCTCCAAGGGGGTGAAGATCAAGCACGGCTCCAGCTCCACCCTGCCCAGGATGAAGCAGAAAGGCCTGAAGATTGCCAAAGGCATCTTCTAGCCACAGCCCCACTGCCCACCCATCACCGACGGGGCCTTGGGGGCAGGTAGCTCCGGGCTTGGCTGCGGCCGGTCCTTGTGCCGCCTGGCACGGCAGGAGG